TACCAGGCAGAAGCCCTAGGTGCTGCTCTTATGTTTGTTCAACCCAAAGCAGATGGCAAAAGAATCCGCCCCTTGGTTGACCTTAAGCTACGGAACGAAAACGCAGTTATGGACAGCGCCGCTATCCCAAACCAAACCCAGATTCTAAATGCAGTTGGACGGGCTAGATTCCGAAGTAAGATTGACCTAAGTGATGCCTACTTCCAAACAAGGTTAGACCCAGAAAGCGAACGCTACAACAGTTTCAAAACACCCTTGGGAAGTTTCATTAGCAGAGTTATGTTACAAGGTGATATGAATGCGCCCGCCACCTTTATGCGAATTATGGAAAACCTCCTAAGCAAATACCTCTACCATTTTGTTTGGGTCTACATTGATGATATTCTCATCTTCTCGAATACCGAAATAGAACATGCCTATCATATAGGATTGGTTTGTACCAAATTAAGGGAAGCTAAATTCTACGCTAGCAGAAACAAATCAATTTTGTTTGCCGATAAACTAGATATCCTAGGACATGTTATAGATGATGAAGGAATACACGCAGCTCCTGGAAAAATAGCCTGTTTAATGGAATAGTCGACACCCCGGAATCAAAAGGAACTCATGCGATTCCTAGGACTAGTCAACTATATTTTCCAGTTCCTCCCACACCACGCCACTGTGACAGCGCCGCTTACAGACCTTACCAGCAATGCAGAATTTGTCTGGACCCACACTCATGACCAAGCCTTTACCAACATCAAGGAATTGATTAAAAACGCCAACGTTATTCAACCTATCGACTATAGTAAACCAGAACCGATATGGCTTATTACTGATGCATCGGATGTTGGAGTTGGAGCATGGGTTGGGCAAGGAGCCTCCCATGAAATGGCAAGACCGGCGGCATTACATAGCAGGAAGTTCACTAACTCACAGATGAACTATGGAACAACAGACAAGGAAGCCCTTGCTGTGATTGATGCTCTCGCCGCTTTTAATCACATCCTGATGGGCAATACCTTCACTATTGTTACCGACCACCAACCTCTCACTAACCTTAAAACAGAAAGGATACCCGGAAGAAGAAGAACAAGATGGATAGGTGAAATCAGCAAATATGATGCAAAAATCATCTATACCCCTGGAAGAACGAACTATTTAGCTGATGCTCTCTCCTGCCTATATGAGAATCAAGATCTCACAGACCCTCCTCTTGTTCATGACCACACAAGACAAAGCGAGAACAGCCCTAACGACACCTCCTATGAACAAGAACCATCGATGGCTACTGCCAGCTCTGCCGCTCCCTCCAATCCCTTCTCTTACACCATGTATAGCGCTGCCGCAACGGAACGTGGAAAAGATATTGACAAAGAATGGAAAGACAATTGCACGCTCCGCAGCACACCTCCTCACGAACTTGAACAAAGCAGACTCCACTGGTCCCACTGTTACCACGACATCTGCCCTTTTCACCAGACTGAGATTAAGTTCGGAAACAGATACCAGCGACCGTACTATATGCCTGCTGATGATTCCAAAGACACCAGCTTCGACACCACAGAAGGAGAAGAAGAGATGATTGATGAAGATGAATCAACCCAATCTCCTCATATCCTTAATCCTGCTCCAACACGATACCAAGGTCTTGAAGAACTCAAACAAGCAGCAACTTACGTGGATGCAATATCCTATTTACACCCTCTACAGTCAGCTCCGCCATCCTTTCCTCCCATAATCGATTCACGACCACTATATGGTGGACCCTTACGAGTATACAACAATGAAACCATTGTCTCGGTCATACCCCCTACTATTCTCGAGCATCGGCGTCAACTCTACGAAACCTTTGAGGAAGAGGAAGCCCCTATCGAACCAACAAGAGGATCCCTAATCGAGGATGAACGAGATGTTAGATCAACCACAGAAGAATTAACCTCCTCTTTCCGAAGCCAAATGATAGCAGGATACCGCCATGACCCGATTTACTTCAAAGCCATGGATAGCTCCAGGCATGGAGAACTCGCCCCCTACAACATATCAAACGGAATGGTATATACCAGCACCCGTTATGGTGAACATTGCCTATACATACCAAAGGGCCATATGTTCAATGGAATGACTATCAGAGAATATGTCATATCCGAGATTCGCAACGAGGGACACCACAGTGCGGACCGGAACCTTCAATATGCTTCAGAATATGTTTACTGGCCTGAGATGCACAAGGATTTCTGCAATTTCGTCAAACAATGTGAACTTTGCCAGGCAAACAAGGAGCGAACACAACTACCTGAAGGAAAAGAACAGACCCTCCAACTACCATGTGAAATATTCGAATCATATGCCATCGATTTCGCAGGACCATTTAATAAATCCGCCGAATATGACACCATCTTGGTAGCTGTGGACTGATTCTCTAGATACACATGGCTCATACCAATGAAGCTTACTGATTCCTCCAAAGACACCTGGAATAACCTCCAATGATACCTGTTTACCCCCCATGGGTACCCCTTATCTATTGTCAGTGATGCTGATCCCCGCTTTACCGCCAGGTTCTGGAAGCAAACCTTGACCTCTCTCGGAATAAACCACATTATGGCTGCCCCTGGACACCATGAGACTAATGGTCAAGCAGAACGAAAAATCCGCGAAGTTAAGACCGGAATCAGGAACATGATCAATGAACGACAAACCAACTGGGAACTAGCCCTAGTTGAGCTCGCTGCATATATCAATGCCGGATTTTCAGATACCCTGGGAATGTCACCATACAAGGCAGTCTTTGGCCGTCAATATCCCCTCCTACCTACAACACTATTTAAGAACTCATCAGTCCCTGCCTCTGATGACCATCTAAACTGCCACCAAGCAATTCGGAACGATGCCTTCCAAGCTGTTAAGGCCGCCCGATTCTGAAGCACCACTACTGCCCAGAAACGACGTCGCCAACATGTCCCCATCCCACCAGGAGACATGCTCATAGTACACGGTAATATGTTCATTACCAATGTCGAACGCAGCAAGAAACTGCAAACCCGCTGGCGAGGATCCTTCAAAGTCATATACTTTGACAAACATACAGAAAACTACACTGTCCAGATGGATGGACGCATGTACCGCCGCAATACTGCAGTCTTTCACGCCTCACCTGTCAAGTGATTCCATCCAAATAACGACTCCAAGTTTCTTGGAAGAACCCACTCTCGGCCTGCACCTATCATCATCGATAAGAAAGATGAATGGGAAATTGAAGAAATCAGAGACCGCCGCCTTCGGCATGGAAATGATCAGTTCCTAGTCAAATGGAAAGGATATCCGACGAGTGAAAACAGTTGGGAACCACTGGAAGGACTAGAGCACGCTATGGATATGGTGAACGGATGGTGGAAAGACAACATGCCAAACGAATCCCTTCCCCCAACAATCAATTATATCACCATATGCTGGACACCTACAATGCCAGAAACTGAGCGATGGCACGCAGAACTCGAAGCTAGAGATTGATTTTGGGCACCACACTTTGAGTCGGAATTTGAAAGCAGCGATGAGGAGAATCAAGCTATGGAGCATGCTCTCGACAACTTTATCTAGTCACCAATCACCATCCGAATACCATAACGATGTCAAACTATGTGGAGCTCAATGTGAGGCTGCGACAACAGATTGTTGGACTGTTGTTGAACCGCGATGCTATCCAACTTGAAGACTATTTCGAAATCCTCTGGATAGATTACTGTCCTGATTGCGATCACGCTTAGGTTGATGTACAACGCGAATCTGGTATTCGTAACTACTGTGATTTACATTTCTTTGAGTCTAAGTGTTTCCTTAAGGTTTCTTCCTGCCCATGGTGTGATACTTATGACGAAGAATTTCTTGCAGAAACTGAGGCCATGAGTTTCTCGGAATCCGCTTTTGATGATTATTAGGTTTTGTTTGTTTAAACAGTTGTTTTGTTTTGGGGAATGTAACCGGTACGGGTACTCGGTTATTGGTTTTGTTTTATGTTTTGTTTTAAGTATCGCTTTGATACTTGGTTTGTTTTAAGTATCGTTTGATACTTGGTTTTGTTTTATATTTTGTTTTAAGTATCGCTTTGATACTTAGTTTGTTTTAAGTATCGTTTGATACTTGGTTTTGTTTTATGTTTTGTTTTAAGTATCGCTTTGATACTTAAGAAGTTTTACCAAAGAGTATTAATTGATACCTTTGATTAGTTTCGTTCATGCTAGACATGAACAGATTTGTGTATTTAAAGACCGCCTGTTTCTACGATAGAAAAGGCAGACTTCGACAGACAGTATTCCAATATACTTGGTTGAACAGTTACTTCTTTGTTTCCCAGTACACCCTCGAAGCCTCCTTTAGTTCTCAGCTCTCGCCTCCTCTCCGGAAGAGCAGGCCACCTGCCAACTATCGTATCCTGTACCGATAACGTGATTAGCACTTTACGAACACGTTACTGTAGAGCCTGAAGCTTTAAGGAAGGAAATTTAGTTGTAGCTATTGGATGTTTACCCATAGAATAGTACTAAGGATGAGTGCATTGCCCTTATAAACAGTAAGAGAAGAGAAAGTGGTGGGATGATTTGAATAGGAGAAAAAACGATGAGTACAGGAGACCAGAAGAACAGTATTGGTATATATCATGGAACGATTCCACAATACTACAGAACAGCTAAACTGATTGGACACTAGTGGTACGAAAGACAGAGAAGGATATTCATCATACCAATTGTGGTGTGCCAATCTTTGTGGGTAAGGATATTTCACATTGGGACTCTGATTCTCCGTTTACTGAAAGTAGTACCAATGTTCACTTGGAGCAGAAGAAAGATATGTTTTTGACATATAATATGTACAGTACCGATCTCAGTTATGTGTAGAGTATTAGAGCTCTTCTTATTGTGCCCATCTATGCAGTATTGTAGGGCGATGCAGTAGCCTTCTGGCCATTTGTTTGCTTCATGGAGTGAATGGAGTAGAATTTCTTAAGGGACTAAACTGGGATGAGGGCCCAACCCGTAACCTTAGATTATCTTGCCCAGCTCATGGATCCAAGATTATGCACACCTAGAGAGTATGGACTCGACCAACTTTTTCCTCTTCTCCAGGGTATTGTTGGTTTGGTACGAACAGGAGTTCAGGTGGGGTATTGGGTATAGGCTTTGGGAAACAATATGAACACATTTCTACAGCAGCCAATTCCATTTGTTCATTGCTTTGGCAATACTTGAAAGGCATCGGGACGTTATCATAGACAGTAAGTTACCTGCTTGCTATTATGATGAATTATGCTAATTCAGAGTAGCTCTGAAGCAGTTGGACAAAGTTCCAAAATACATCAATGTGCTTTGTACAACTATAGAGCTTTCTTCAACCCAGATCTGCACTGAGGCATTGTTTTACAAATTCCAGTAGACAGCAGAAGCCACAGATTGTAAAAGTGGTTTTATTGCACCTGGTGAGGGAAGTAGTACAATGAGGAGACAGAGAATGGAGAATGATTGTGAGGGGAATCCTTTGAACAGCTCTTGGGCACTGAGGCCTAGGGACATGGTAAACAAATGGAAGAATATTGAGAGGCGAAAGGGAGGGATTGCAAGACAAAGCAGTGGAAAGTTCGGAGGTTGTAAGAGGTTAGTTAGATATTGGCTCTGGGAATTGTGAGATTTCGGGAGTCTCACTGAGAGTTCAGGGACTTGCTAGATTGGTGTGAGGGTTCAGAGATTGACTGTTTGGTTAGTTATATTATTGATCTCTCACTAAATTTTTTGTTTTATTATACTTTCTTAAATTTTTATCTTACTGTATTTTATTTTATTACTTTATTTTATTTTATTTTCCTCTGATACAGGTTGACTAAACATGGTCATATGATCTCATTTTTGTGTCATTTGCAGGAGTACCTACTGTTATTAGTATTAATGTGGCTATTATCTTTATCGGCTGTATCTATGCATCGCGTCGGTAGGAGTTAGGGTTATTGGAGAGCTGCAGTAGTGGCTACCTGGTAATGACGTGTCTATGTGTCCTATAGTGAGATCTATAAAACATGCAAGCTCTGTCAATGTTTTTTTTTTTTTTCATCACTTCAACTGCAAGAGCAATCCCACTTCACCATGGCTGCACAAATCCTCGAAAAAATCTACAAGGCGTTTAGACCTCGCACCTGCGAGTTTCTTACATTCTCAAAGCTTGATCCAACCTTGTCCGATGAAATTCTCTATAACCTTCTCTATTAGAAAGATCTCAGTGCCTTTGGCTTGAGGTGAGTACAAGTTTCAGGGATAATGTTTTCTTACTGAACAGGGTTTATTTTATGGGTTAGCTGGGATTAAACTGTTTAGATACTTTATTTCCTATGCCTTATATATGCCCAGTACCAAGAAGAAACATACTAACTATTACTAGAATTCACTTTATTGCCCCAGATGGGTACCTCCGTATTGTCATACCAAGTCACCTGCATGAAACTGCAGTGAGCTGGATGAGAAGTGAGTTCATCTGTTGGGCCGGCTGTGGCCTCCTTACACTTCGCGCAGCCCTCTCGATAACTGATGCCATGATTAGTATGTCCCTTTGCTCAGCCATATGGAACAACCTGGTCTAGTATACTAATAGTTGAATAGCAAATGATACGTTTGTTGGGACCTTTGTAGGCTCAATGAAGACACCGGACCTTTGCTATAGCCCACATATTAATGGAGTAACAAGGGAGTTTCCAACTATTGTCATGGAAGCAGGGTGGAGCGAGTTGAAGGCCCAGTTAGAATGTGACTGCCGAGTGTGGCTTGAAGGGTCTGCTGGGACTGTGAAGGTCGTTCTGTTCGTTAAACTATTTGCTCCTAATGTGTTTGGTGAAATTAAGGCCATTCTAACGGTCTGCTGGGTTGTAAATGACCTACTAGTTCTGGATCGATACGCATGCTCTTCCCTTCCATACCATATCTTTGTCAATCTTACATCCTGCTAATCAACCCCCTCACCTTGCAGGAAATCTTCCCGCCTCCCTCCGAGCATGTTCATGATCTATATATCAAAGTGGGAGAGCTTTTTGGGGGGAGATTTCCCATTGGCCAAAATCCCCAGATACTTTTTCCGTTATCTTTGGTGCGACTTCGGGATCTAGCTAGAGCAGAGATCTGTGAACAGGGATATCTCCCTATGGCCAACTGATGTCACGAATGTGGCTTAGCGAGGAAAGGGTTTTTCACGTGACACATGGTTATGAGTCACAGGTATGTTATTGTTTCACGCATATGACCCATTCGGGTTATAGGATTATTTATGTGTGGGATTTGTGATGCTTTCGCACATGGCTCAAGTATGAGTCATAGGACATGCGCCTGACGAGTATGTCTTACGAGTGTGCCTTACGGGTAAGCCTTGCGCATATGATTTATGTTTCGCACATGACCTCATTATGATGTCATGGGTTTCGTGCATATGACTCAGTCGAGTCATATGACTTGTTTATTGCATTATGATTGGTTTATGAGTTTCGCACATAATCTCGCTAGGAGATCATGGGTTTTGAGCATGTGATCACTTTGGTCATATGACTAGTTTGTTGTGATTTAGTTTCGCACATGTGACCACTTTAGGTCACATGACTAAAGGCGGGAAGAACACTATATAAGGAGGCCGATGCGGCCGAGGAAGATAGGTTCTTCACGCTTTGTTCTAAGTACTTTTCCTCGTCCTTGCTGTCGCTTCGCCCCAAGCGTTTCTTTCGCCATCATGATGGGCCTTGATGCCTTGGATTCTGGGGGAGATATCTGAGTTCGCTCAGTAGTTCCTGGGGTCTTTGGTGTTGAGGTCTGTTAGGCGTTGCGTGGCGGATAACTTGTTTGCGTCTCGTTTCGTTGGACTGGTTATCTCACAATACTAGCACTTCGAGCACTCATCACGGTCGCTTCCGAGCCCCTTTCGGTAAAATGTCTACGGCTTCCTGTCTATAGTCTACTCGCAGGTTTCGCGTTCGATTGGGGGGATTGAACATTGTGTTTGAGGGGATCACCCGTGTCGTTCTTTGGGCCAGCTCATGTCTTTTGTTGGGTTTTAACGGAGTCCTTAGTTCACGCGATACAAAACGCCCTTGGGTTAGACTGATGACCTTTCCAAGTATCAACTCGTCGTACCGGCCGCATCATTTCCTCAAGGGAGGGGGCCTCGCCGGCCCCTCCCTGCCTCGTTACTTTATGTTTCTACGGTTGGAATCCTATGATGTTGTTTATCACCGTTCCCTTGGAAACTTTGTCCTTGCGGCATATACGGTGGTTCAGTCAGGTGTCACCTCCTAGCTACGGCGGGGACGGCTTTGACCCTGAAAAACCTTACCCCCTGGAGTGGTTTTTCTTTGCTACCTGGGGTGGTGTGGGACGATTGGCTGCCAGGCATTTGCGTTGTCTGTGCGTCTGGGTGGTTCGGTTGTGGTCTGTGGTTGGCGGCTTCACCCATTGCAAGTGGGGCCTACCTTCCGTTTGTCTGCTTCTGTTCGTTCGCCCTTCCCCTTCATGTCGCGTCAGTTGGGGATGCCTCTTGCCCGTTATTCGGTCCGTGCCTGTTGCCGGACCTGTGGGCCTGGCTTTGGCTGGCTCTGCTTACTCTTTCCCGACTCGGTTGGATTTTGGTTCGGCTGGGTTGGATGGTGTGGCTGGTGCCGGCGCCTTCGGGTGTTGGTGCTGCCTCCTTTGTGGCTCCCGGCTGTGGCTGGTGGGCTCCCCTCGGCGATATGGTGCTGGGGGTTGGGGCTCTGTTTGTGTGGCCAAGATCAATGGCTGCCTGGCAGGACTGGGTATAAGCTGTCCTATGGCCGTCGGATGGTTAATCTGTCTGAGGGGCTGGGGGGGCTGGATGGGCTCTGTGGCGTCTGGTGTGTGGGGCTTGGGGGGGGCTGATTGGGGGGGGAGAGGCACCTGCGAGCACCGGTCGGGCATGCGTCAGGTTGGGCGATGTCTAATTAAGTGTTTCCGGACCAGTTTGGGCTGCTGGGCGAAGTTGCTGAGTGCTGTAAAGCTCCCCGGCGGACCGCTGGACTGATGGCCACCTGTGCGGATAGTGGGTTGCGACCACCTGGTTGGACTTGTTTGGGTTCTGCGTGCTGGATGTTGTGGAAGTTTGTTTGGTTTCTTTGGTTTGGCTATGGGCATGGCTGGCAGGGGCAAGGCACCACGGGTGGGAAATAGGCCCCACTGACCTTTTCGGTCTGTCACCACCTCTATGTATTTCTTTTGTTTATAAGTTTGTTTTGGGGGACAGGCAGCGGGTACAGGTCCTCCTCACCATTACGCTCCACGGAGGCACTTGGCAAAGAGGGTTTATAGGGTCAACGGCCTAGCATGCGGATGCGAGAGGCGGACATGTTGGTCACCTCCTCTCTGCCATTGTGTCGCCTGTAGTTTATATTTTTTAGTTTGTTGTTGGTTTTCTACTGTGGTGGAGGTGTTGCGGGACGGTATTTAGACCGGGTGGTAGTGGTTTTAATTTTGTTGGACGAGGAACCTGGTTGGGTCGGTCTCTTGCTCGGCTTCGGCTACGCTTGGTGCTGGTTGGCTTCATACCAGAGGAGCTACGGACTTGGACCGGGGAGGGCGCTGGGTTGTTTGATGGTCTTGTAATTAGTTTCCGTGCGGGCATGACTCGGGGATGGCAGGTACGGGACCGTAGACTTAGTTAGCCTAGGATTAGTGGTATGCCGGTTAGCGGTATCCCTGTGCCGGCGGGGGCTCGTCATATGCCAGTGTTGGCGGTACGAGTTTAAAATAAATTCGATTGAATTCTAAGTACTTTTCCTACTTATTACTTTAACGAATATAAAACACCTTTACGATCTTTATCTTTATTGCAACAATATCATTACGACAAGAAGCGCTCGTCACGAGGACGAGTTAGAGAAAGCTTACGATAGGCGTTTCCGATAGAAGACAAAGGTCTTGTACTATCGGTAACGTAGGTAGAGGCCTAGAGCTATCGTAAGACAAAGAAAGAAGGAGACAGAACCGATAAGTATCGTTCCCCGTCGCCAAGAACTAACTATACAGAGAGGGATCGTTACAACTGAGCTCACTTAAACTCATCTCCTCTCCGCTCTTTGGCCTTGTTTTTATATGTTCACTGCTTGTTAGTCTGGCGGGTGGCGGGGGTTTTATCTCTTCTCTCAATTCCTTTGTATAACAAATGAATTTATAATATTACTCTGAATTCTGCAGGCCTCGCGTGTGTACTCGGGTGTGTCCATAAAAATCTGAAAGATGAATACCCTTGTTATTCAAGGTTAGTGAGCAGAAAGCAACAAAAAATTAGAAAACCCCCACAGGGATTAGCCATCCAAGAAGCCGTAGTGTTGAAAAGAAATAGTCAGGTACTGCACCGGTATGGGAGGCGGAATTCAATGAAACAAATTTAATATTATAAAT